GTGCCTTAGTATGGATGGTGGTATGGGACGCATCCATACATTGCACAAGGTATAGCATAAGGGTTCTTGAGGTGAAGGTCCAAGGTAAAGGTTTTCATGTTGATATTGTTTAAAGGTGATATTATGACTTACTTGATGTTTATGCTTGTCTTGTATGTCTTTTATGCAACTATTCATGATACTTCAAAAAGTGGCATAATGCATGGTTTCTAGCCAAAATGTCCCTTTTAAAGCATGTTTTGCATGGTCATCATACTTAGTACTTAATTGTGCTAATTCCATATTTCTCTATTTTCTACTAGTGTAGGTTCCGGAAAGTGAGCGGGTTCTATAGTAAGCTTGGAACTTGAAGTTCTTCCAAGATCTTGTGGTATGTCCTCATATGTCGAGGACAAGACTTTTATATTCTAATTTTATGATAAGGTCCTTGTAATAGACTTAATAGACTTCTTTTGATTGTAAAAGGGCCGTGTCCCTACTTATGTTTTGTGATTGTGTCTAAGATGGCCATGTGAGACTTAGACTTCCGTTGTGTGTTTTTAAAGTTGTTTTAATGAAGTTTAAATGTGTGGATGTAAATAAGTTTTTTTTTTATTATTCCGCACTATTTTCATTATTGAATGCAATGAATGACTATGTGGCTCGTATAAGACCCCTTCGGGGTCGAATACGTCATGTTACGACTAGGGGGTACTCTCGGGTCGTGACAGTGGTAATCACAACATTTTCATCGAACTTTGTATTTTTAGGTCTAGGCCTCTATGGGTCTTCATTGTTACTAACATAGCCACTCCGAGCCTTTAAAATCTCATAATTCCATAGGAGTGAAGCATACTCATGCGAAGGGTTTCAGAACTAATTCCATAAGATGGTACTTGTAGTCCATCACTCAAAAACTCAGCGTATGCAGCAACAAAAAGTCCACAATCTCTGCATGGTATATCATCAATTAGAAAATATAATAACATTACATTTCAATAGTGGTAAGACAAAAAAAATAATGTGAAACTTACAGACTATTGCTTTCTTGTTGGGCAATATCAGTAACATGTATGACTTCGAATGAGTGATATTTGTTCTTTCCTTGGTAAGATTCAAGAACTGACCAGTTGGTTCAATCTTTTTGATCAAAAAATTTGTAGGATTCAAGGTACTTTGGCAACAATGTAGACAACTTTTGAATCTCGGAGCACAATTTTCTGTTAGTCCTAGTTGAGGACATCGAATCATACACCTTTATGCACCGTTCCTTCAATACAACGACTGACAAGACCCAATGAAACTCCCCATTACAATTTACAGGGACATTAACCTCAGCTGTGAGGTGCCAAGGCAGTCCACCAGGTATACCAAACCCTTTGATAGTGCCAATGATTTTATTCTCATATTCAGGAACAACACTAGCATTGTCAATGTATGTTTTGAAAAAAACAATTAGTAGTAGTATATCGATATTTAGAATGACTCTGTTGCTTCGACTTCTTCCGCAAATAGTATAAAATGACATTCACATGCTGCACAGATGCATCAACAAGTGTATTTCTGTATCAATTTATTTGTATTTATTCATGTCTTAATCAAAAGATAAAAGTGAGCATGGACTTACCTCATCAGTCTAACACTTATTGGGTTGAGACATTATGTAGAACCAGTCCTTCTTCTTTGGAAATGCAGCTACAAAATCAAGTTGTTGAACTCAAGATTCGAGCAATTGGCTAAGTAGTGATCGTCCTTGTCTCTTCTGCAATTGTGTAATCATTATAAATAATTATTTAGTGGACAACAAGAAGAAATACTAATAATAGTTGAACGACTTTACTTTTTTGCATGATGCTTGTAAAGACCCTCGTTTATCCATTGCGAGAAGGATGCCATTAGTTCAGTTGGACCCTCGTCGTCAATGTTAAAACCTTCAAATGGAAATTGTTCCTTCACATCACAATTGACGACTTCGACTTTATTCTCTTTCTTTTTCTCTCTCTTTCGCTTTCTTTTTCACTTTCTCCTTCTCCTTCTCCTTCTCTTGCTCCTTCTCCTTCTCCTTCTCCTCCTCCCCCATCTCCTGCTCCTTCTCCCCCTCCTCCTTCTCCTTGTCTTTTGGGTTTGAGTGTGATACTAGAGCAGTAGTCATTGATTTTTTTCTTTCACTAATTATAGATAGTGATTGGGAAATAGATTTTTTCAACCTCCTACACTTCAAAGGTTGTGAAATCTTCTTGGATGTATGAACATCAATATTATAAGTCATTTCCTTAAAATATCAGTAAGTTCTTTAACACGACTAATAAAATAATCATGTTGCTGCTCACATTCTTCGCATAGACAAAAAGAGCATTTGATGTTAGAAGAGGAAGCAACACCAATAAAAGATTGACTTGTTGTCATGGATGAAGCTTCTTGTATCATTTTATTTACAAGGTAAATAAAAAAACATTGAGAGTTTACAATTGATTATAAAATGATAATGGATAGCAATTTATACTTATGTTGACACAGATGGATATTTTGTTGCCACATATGTACCTTATGTTGCCACGAATGAATCTTTTGTGGCCACAAATGAATCTTCATGTGCCACAGATGAATCTTCTATTACTACAGATGACCATTTTGTTTCCCTAACACATATGTAATATGTTCCAACATATGACAACTCTATTGGAATATATACCAACATAGCACTAAAATGTAGCAACATACGACACATCTTTCAACAAATGAACTATATGTTGGACAACTGAACAATACTATATTTCTAAAATCATATGAACAAAATGATCACAAAAAAAAAATAACAAAAGCAACAAAAAATGATTTTTCACTGAATGTTAACAATACATATACATTTCCTCAAAATTGGGGCTTTTTTGGGTTTGTTGATTTTCTTTCAAAAACGATAAATAATAGGTACCATTACACCATTATTCAATTTTCACATCTATAGAACAATTTATTGTTCATTAACCCAAGAAAAAAACTTAGTATTGTTCGAAAATTGTAAAATCTTTCAAAAATATTGACTTACCCATTTTAAGTCGAACACAATCTTTAGTTCAGAAAGATGAGAGAGTCACGGCCGGAGAAGATAAGATAATGGAGGAAAATATTTGTTTTGATAGTCGAATTTTCGAATTTTCTAAGGAAGAAGAAGAAGAGAAGAGAGAACGTTGGGAGAAGAAGAAGAGAAAATTCTATTTTCTTTTACTTTTTTAAAAATGGTTTGGATAGAATAAAAGTTGAAAAATGAAGTGTTTTTTTTGTATTTTATAAAAGATTAGAAAGTTTTGAAAATGTTAATTTGATCTCAGATTTACTTAATTATATTTTAAAGTGAATTTGACCCTTTCTTGGTCAAAGTGTCACCAAAAACAAAATCCAAACTTAATTAACACCTTTCATTAATGTTCTCTAGAAAGTTTTGAAAATATTAATTTGGTTCCAAATTAACTTAATTACTTTTTTAAGTGGATTTGACCATTTCTTGGTCAAAGTGCAAAAACCATTTAATTTTCTCTTGAAACTATCCATTTTGCGTACAAAGAAAGATTAAATGACGATACATCTGACGGTACAGAAGAAATAAATATGGTTTTGTGTCCATTTGTTCTTTCTTTCGATTATACTTCTGATGGAAACTGAAAAGGCCATAGATGCACAAGTAATCCTTTTTCTGCTGTGAGAAGAAGCTTCACTTCATTATATGGTTAGCTTTTTAAGCTTATTTACTGTTAGTTCATCTTCTTATTTTTGATTTCTACTGAAATGCTTCAATTTTTTTATAGCTGTTAGGAGTAGTATTTCCATGTTGCGTTCTTCTCTTCTTGGTTACTGCAGAGAAAGATTGCCTACATTTCTTGGTGGGTGTTTTAGTTGATATGTTTCAGCTTGTTAGCTGCTACTCTTTTATTTGTTTCTCTCTTATTTATTTTTATGGGTTTTTTGTGTTGAGTTTTACATTAAAGATCTTATCCGGTGCTTGTTGATTTTTTTGGAAATTCTGGGGCAGAATATTTACTCATTCACATCTATACTTTAAACTCTTGATTTTTTTATACCTGAAAAGAAAGGCAGAACATTTAGACAAAATGGGTTGCTTATTAGGAAAAGATCAATAAGTAGAAGATACCTTATTCTGCTTTTGTTTGTTGATCAAGTCCTTCCATTCAACAAGCTTTTCAGATTCTCGTATATTTCTCTTAGTTTGCGACAAATTGCACCGTTGCTATGACGTTATAGCCAATCTATTTCCTTTTTTTTTTCTTGCAATAACCTTTGACTGGATCGAGAGGTACTCAATCAACTGAACAATTTTTGGGTTTAGTAGCTTGCATACGGTTATGAACTTGTTTCTCTTTTATAGTTTCAAAAGATTGCCTATAGGCTATAAAATCCAAAATTGTCGAAATAAAGAAACTTGGTGTTTTAATATATATCAGAATAGTTAATGAGATGAATTGTCAAATCAATATGTTGTTATTTTATGATGCCACCTATCACACTAATCTAAAACAAAAGTAAAGTTCGGAAAATAATCAACATACTTGCTCAAAAGAGTAAAACATCATGACCTACCCTCGGGAGTTGGCTCTTGAATCGAGTTCGAGATTCGAGAATCAGGAGTCGGATCTAGGATTAGTATTGGGAATCAAGACCCGAGACTAAGTTAGGATGGAAAGTTGAGGTGTGAGGTTCAAAATAATTTTGGAAATGTTCTCCTTACTGTTTTTAAGAGAAAATAAGTTGATTTGGAAAACATTTAAGCCAACCAAACATGAGAAAATTGGAAAACATTTTCTGGAATATCAAACACACCGTTATAGTAACTGGTTATCACTCAAGAAAACCATTGAATATCTTGGTTGATACTGGCAGCTCTCATAACTTCATAGATCCTGACTTGGTTAAAAGCTTGGGGTGTCAGAGTCAGACGAAGGTTACTATATTACAAATGGTGTGTACAGCTAATGGCAATATGATGAAGGTGGATAGGGTGTGTCAGATCACTTGGCTCTTGCAAGGAGCTGAATTCTGTGCTGAGTTCCTCTTGCTACCATTGGGGTCTTGTGGTGTAGTTCTAGGAGTGCAATGATTGTTGGCGCAGGGAGATATCAAAATGAACTTTAGCAAACTCATTATGGAGTTTTGGTACAAAGGCAGGAAGCATGTACTTAGAGGAGCAGGCAAGCAAATCTCATCTGCTGGAGCTGGTAAACTAGAAAGATTTCAGGTAACCAATCTAAGTTATGTCTGATTCAACTCATTCCTAGGTGTCCCGAATTACTTGCATTAGAAACTAAATACCATTCTAAGAAGGACTCTAGAATTGGAGAATTATTGAAGGAGTTAAGGGGGTTGTTTACTGAACCTACTCAATTGCCATCATCTAAAGGAGTGTTTGATTATAGAATTATCTTACAAACTGGTACTGAACCTGTTAATAAGGTATCCTTCTGTTAAAAAGGATTTCATTGAGAATCTTGTACAACAGATGCTAGACCAGGGCATTGTTCAACCTAGTAGCAGCCCATTTGCCTCACCAGTTGTGTTGGTTGGCAAAAATGATGGATCATGGAGATTTTGTGTGGACTATAGGGATCTTAACAAGCACACTGTTAAGAAAAAAATTCCTATAACCATGTAGAGGATCTTCTAGATGAACTCGGGGGGTTCAAAGATCTTCTCAAAAATAGACCTAAGGGCAGGGTACCATCAGTTATGGATGAGTCAGGAAGATATACCAAAACCAACATTAGGACACACTCTGGTCGTTTTAAATATTTGGTAATGCTATTTGGCTCGTCAAATGCTCTTTCTACCTTCCAAGGTTTATTGAATTCTGAAGTTTTTGAGGAAGTATGTTGTGGTCTTCTTTGATGATTTTCTGATTTATAATCAGACCATTGAGGAACATTTGCTCCACCTCAAGGATGTGTTTGTAGAAATGAAGATGCATCAGTTGTTGGCCAAATTTAAGTAACTGTTTCTTTGGAGTAAACAAGATTGAATATCTAGGCTATTTCATCACCAAAGATGGAGTTTCAACAGGCTCTCAAAGGATTATTGCTGTTCAGAATTGGCCACTTCCAATAACTATCAAACAACTGAGAGGGTTCATTGGGTTAGCAGGGTACTACAGAAGATTCATCCAGGGGTTTGGCATCATTAGTAAACCACTAACTGATCTTTTGAAGAAAGATAGTTGCAATTGTCACCAACTACATCTGCATTTAAATAGCTAAAGTTAGCTTTGTCTAAAGCTCCTGTTTTGGCCCTACTAGATGTTAGCAAGACTTTTGTGGCGGAGACTGATGCTAGTGGCTTTGGCATATGGGCTGTCTTGATGCAACAAGGACACCCTATTGCATATATTAGCAACGCACTATCATCTAGACATTCATCTATGTTTATTTAAGATAGAGAACTTTTGGCTATTGTATATGCAGTTTCTAAGTGGTCTCAGTACTTACTTGGAAAAGATTTATCATAAGGACTGATCAGAAGGCTCTGGAGTTCTTGATGGAACAGAATTTTCATACCAACTCTCAATTGATGTGGTTAACTAATCTTATGCCTTTTGATTAAAAAAAGAACAAACAATAAAGCAGCTGGTGCATTGTCTAGAGTATCTGGTGCTGAGTTGTTACCCTTGGTTATCTCAAAAACTAGTTTTGGATTACTGCAGGGTATAGAAGATGATTGGACAACTGATGTAGAGTTGAAAGGGTTGATTGAAAAGCTTCAGGCTGATCCACATGCTCAGTCTCAATTTTCTTGGCATCAGAATCAGTTAAGGAGGAAGGGCAGACTAGTTGTGGGCAAAGGAAAACAGCTGAAGCAAGATATTATGACCTTGTGGCATGCTACATGCCAAGGTGGTCATTATGGGAATGAGGAATGACGTTAAGGCTTTTGTACAAAAGTGTGATGTTTGTCAAAGGAATAAAGATGATCTAGCTGCTTACCCTAGTTTCTTACAACCACTACCTGTTCCTGATGTAGTGTGGTCTCAGATCAACATGGATTTTATTGATGGATTGCCTAAATCATATGGTCATGACTCATGAAGTAATCGTAGTAGTAGTTGATAAACTAAGTAAGTATGCCCATTTTATTCCTCGGAAGCATCCTTATACTAGTCAGTCAATTGCCAAAGTCTTCAAGGGCTTTATAATAAGGTTACATGGTCTACCTGAAAAGGATTATGTGTTCCTCAGTACCTTTTGACAAGAGTTGTTTTCCCTGGAAGGTGTCCAGCTGAACATGTCATCAGCCTATCACCCCAGAGTGATGGCCAAGCTAAACAAGTCCTTAATAGGTGCCTGGAAGCCTATTTAAGAGGTTTTTGTGCTGAGGATGCTAAGGGCTGGTATGATTGTTTGTCTGTGGACGAATATTGGTATAATTCTTGCTATCATTCTTCTATTGACACTACACCTTGTGAGGCCCTCTATGGTCGAGCTCCTCCATTGCACTTACCTTACCTCCCAGAAGAGTTCTCATTTGTTGAAGTAGATAGCACTCTCCTCAATAGAGAGTTGTAGTTACAGTTGTTGAGGCATCATCTGATGAGAGCACACCTGAGAATGAAACAATAGGCTGACCATCATAAAGTGACCAGAGTTCTGTTGTTGGTGATTGGGTCTACTTTAAGGTTCAGCCTTGTAAACAAGTTAGTGTATCCACTCAGCCTCAACACAAGCTTGCTGCTAAGTACTATGGGCCTTCCCAAATTGTCACGAAGGTTGGCTCGGTAGCATATACTCTATTGTTTTCTGAAACAGTAATGATACACCCTACTGTCCATGTTTCTCTTCTGAAAAGGTGCTTTGAGGTACCCCTCAAATTATCTACCCACTTCTGCTGATGTTGCCATCCCCAATTGCTCAGATGCTGAAGCTATACTACAGAGTACAGACAAGAATGGTCAAGTGAGGAAGTAAGGCAGTGGCACAAGTCTTAGTGAAGTGGAAAGACTTATCAGCTGATACTGCCACTTGGGAATACTCTTTTGTTCTTAAGACCAGGTTTCATACATTTGATCCTTGAGGACAAGGATCTCATGGTGGGGGGAGTACGGTTATCAGATAATTGAAAGGAAGCTAAATCAGTTGGACGAGTCAACAAAAGCAGTTAGGAAGTTTTGGCGGGAAAGTTAGTTGTGAACAGTAGCAGTCCTAGAGTTAGTTGATAACATAATTAAAATTAGTTAGCAACAAAATTGATTCATTCCATGTATTATATTCTGCTATAAGTACATGTAGATTTCATTTGAGATATATGAATATACACTTTACATTTGACTAGTACAGATTCTCTCAATCTTCATCTTCTTTCTTTCATCAGATTAGGTTATCTTCTCGAATTTCCTCTATGAATTCTTGAATTAACCATCTGAGTCCTCAAGTTATACGTAACTCCTGCTATTCAGATAACAAATGTACATGAAAATAGGTTAACATTTAAAAACTATCAACTAAGCAACTCGAGAACTAAAACAATAGCTTCTTAGTGTTAAGATGCCCCACATCGGTAAAGGGATGGGAATTTGGTCTCCTTATATGGACTTGGACAAACCTCCCCTCATTAGCTAGCTTTTGGGGTTGAGTAAGGCCCAAGCGCCACATCGTTACATGGTATCAGAGCCTCTACGATCTTGGTAGAGAATCAAAGAGCTTTCGCTGCCGGCGGGTGGCTATTACCCATATATGTTGCCCGTCTGGCCAATGATTATGTTAACAAAAGTAGGTCAATGATATATGCATGAAACCCATATTCAGGGGAAGAAAACTCAGTTAGACAGGTCATTGTGCGTCAATTTTCGATGACTTTCTAGGGTTGTTTTGTGTCAACCCCATATCCATCGGTATTTGTGTAGCACCGTTCCATCTTTCCGGTGACTACTTTTTCATATTCAATTGTGTAGCACCGTACCATCATTCCGGTGACTACTTTCTTATATCTAATTTGTGTAGCACCGTGCCATCATTTCGGTGACTACTTTTTCATATTTAATTTGTGTAGCACCGTGCCATCATTTCAGTGACTACTTTTTTCATATGTAATTTGTGTAGCACCGTGCATCTATCCGGACTACTTTTCATATTTTATTTGCGTAGTACCATGGATTTTTTCGAACTACTTTTCATAGATGAGTTGCATAGCACTGCGTGTCTTTTCGGTGACTCCTCAAATTTGATTTGCATAGTTCCATTCGTCTTTTCGGTGACTCTTCAAAGATGATTAGCGTAGGGTTGTGCCATCATTCCGACCCGACCCATATTATTTCTCTTTTTCAATAGGGTCGTACCATCAATCCGACCTTTCCTATATAATTTCTATTTTCTAGTTGGGTCGTTCCATCAGTCTGACCCTACCCATATAATTTTATTTCTTAGATTGTGACCACTTTCAACCATCAAATCTAATACTTTGGCGTATGAGCATGTTCCGACCAATTTTTCGGTGACTTTCCATTTAATATCGACTCATCTATTGATTCCAACGTGATCCATATACTTTATACTAGATTTTGAGCACTTTGTTGCCCAGGGGGAGTTTAGTAGCCTTGCATGTCAATTATGTGAGTCACTCTATGGTTTGAAACAGTCTTTGCAAGTTTGGTTTGAGAAGTTCAACACTGTAATTTTATTACTCCGTGTTTTATCAGAATTATGTATCAAATTCAATATTTCATGAGAAGATTAAGCACATTGAGATTGACTGACATTATGCATCAAATCTAGTATTTAATGAGAAGACAAGCACATTGAGATTGACTGTCAATTTTGTGAAGTCGACTGATCAACTTGCAGATATACACCAAGCTCCTCATCGGTCCTCATATTAATTACATTTGTAACAAGCTAGATACATATGATTTGTATGCACTAGCTTGAGGGGGAGTGTTAGAATAGTAATAGGTATATACAATCCTATTAGAATAGGAAGATGTTTATACAATTCTATTAGAATAGGATTAAGTTTATACAATCTTATTAGAATAGGAATAGGTTTATACAATCCCATTTAGAATAGGAATAGGAATAGTAAATAGTATCCTACTTGGTAAAAGATTGTATTCTAGTGTCTATAAATAGGGTCTCAATGTAATAATGTAGAAACAACAACAATCCAATAGTATTCTTTCCTTATATTTCTCACATGGTATCAGAGTCAGACCCATCCAAATTTGTTGTTCACCGATGATGGCTCCATTTAGATGTGTTCACGCTCCAATTGAGGTCTGGGCGTGCGGGGGAGTGTTAAGATGTCCCACATCGGTAGAGGGATGGGAATTTGGTCTCCTTATATGGACTTGGACAAACCTCCCCTCATGAGCTAACTTTTGGGGTTGAGTTAGGCCCAGGGGCCATATCTTTACACTTACAAATAGGTTCTCTTCATTGACAGTTGACTCATAAACAGAGGCGAATCAGGATCTCTAGAAGATGGGTGTGCTACCAAAAAATGGTAGAAAAAAAATTCATCAAGTGGGACTTGATTCTTGTATCTCTAGGTAAATAACTTATCTTCCAACCAAGTGTACCAGTAAGCCGTTTTGTAGTATGGGTGCCAGAAGGTAATATTAGATCAATTTTAAAGATTATACACATAAAATACGTAGTTTTGCAGAAAGACCATAGGATTCACGTGCACTGAAGTTACCTACTAAATTCACCCTTGCTCACAAAGCACTCCTCTCAATGACTATTATTTGCTAAGAATAAATCTTGATATGTCCATCTTCAATGACATCAATATGGTGCTTTATGTAGGAGAGGTAATGGTTGAAATCCTTGCCTTCTTGCTCGAAAACCTATGAACTTTGTCAAGAAATCCAATCCAATTTGACCTGGTTTTCATAAATGTTTCGATCTTCATGCGTGCCTTCTCCTAAATCCAAAGCTCTTTCCTTTTGTGCAATTATGGTAATGTTTCCATGTTGAGTTTTTGTTCCTTGATCCACATGTTTATTCCATTAATGAAATTCCTCGAGAATCCTTCTCTCACGTGGAATTTGCTTTATGTCAACTGATCATCAGTCATCTCCAGTCCACTGCGAAAGACCTCGTTCCTTCACTTTGTACATAGTACTTCTGTAATCTAGTTCTCTCATAGACAAGATAGGGTCTGGTTTCAGTAGTTTTTCTATCGTAAACACTACCGGCTCCTTATTTGTGACATGTTTAGACATTGGTTCTTGTATAATACTTGTTATGTTTGTCAATCATCAAAACTTCCAATTTAATATAGCTCAACACATGTCTTAAAGTAGAACTAGTAGTGCATCAAGCAACTTGTAATTTAAAATTTGTGACATGACTTGTCAATGTAATAAATATATTTTTGACAACGAGGGACAGAGTGGTCTAATGCAAATTTACATATTAGTTGTCCTCAATTTTGACAATTAATGTTCTTGTGTTGCACTTATCTTGTCATCCATAAATCAAAGTATATAACATATAATGGAACAATTCGAGTTCTTTTTGTTATGAAACTTTTGTATAGGAATTTTCAAGTTATGCAAGAATTAGGCTCCATTCAGATACTTGATTTCTTAAGTGAGACAGTTGCAACTTTTGAAGATAAGCAATGAAGAGTAAATCGTTATCAAGAAATGGAAATTATGTTGAAAGGGGAATTGGGGAGGATGCTGCATTGAATAAATCAAACGTGAAGGTTGATTTTGGCAATTTGATATGGGTCCAGCTCAATGGTCAATCGTGGCTTGGTCAGGTATTAGAGAATTGGGATTCTCAATGATGCAATCAGTTTCAAATTCTGTTTTGTTATATATATATCACAGCACCCAGCTGTTTAAAACAGTATTTGGTAAGTTTTCTTGTCTCTACCTCTTTTCAACAGCTTGTTGATGAGATGGTTGTAGGTGGGAACAAAAAGCCCACAAAAAAGGTAGCTGGTGAAGTCCTTGTTCGGTTGTACGGGAGCTACACATAGTAAGAAAATCCAGCTCTTTTGTATCTGTTATTTTCAATTCCTATTTAAAGGTTCTACTTCATTTAAATCATTTGCAGTTTGTATGTGGATCCGATTAAATCTCAATTGGAATATGAGAAGGTGAGCTTGCCGTATATTCTAATGGTGAAACCTAATTTTCATAAATGGGAGGCTTCTGATATTTTTAACAACTTCATGTTGGATTTACAGATAATTGAGAGATACCATGGCAGTCTTGTTAACATACTAGGTGAAGCTCTAAAGCAGGTGAGGCTTTATTCTCTTTCTCCATTATGAGAATCTTATGTCAGTAGTTTGCATCTCTCAAGGAGTCTGTTACTTAGATTCTTGTGAGTAGTTTGTCCTACTCAAAGATGTTTTTGTTATAGGATCTTCTTCATCTCAAATCTGGTGCAATGAAGACGGAAGACATACAATCTAAGGGTTAGGTCCTTTAGCTCATACTTCTCTTTGCTTTTCACACTAAAAAAACCATGGTTTCTTAATCTTACTATTGAGTCTCCGCAGCAGCTTTAAAATATGGTTAAATATGTCCAAGAAAATTGGTAATCCATCTAATGCTACGAGCTTCATTTGATTTTGTTATTTAATTTGACATAATTGTAATGACGTCCAAAATAGCATTAGCTGAAAGCATAATCTTTTTAATTGCCACAAAGTTAAGACATTCTGTGTAATGGTCTTTTGAGTTAGTTTAACATCTACACATGAGGCATCTGATATCATAGATAACTTTTTTTTTTTTGCCTTTTCTATTGATTCTATTGCACATGTATTTGTTGTACATTCTTGAATCTGTCTCTCGTACTGCCAATTTTAAGAAACAAAACAGTGATAATGTAGTTTCTTGATCGATTTATCGCCAGAACTTTGGCATATCTTCTCTTCCTTAGAAAACCACTTTTGAAATCTTGAACCATCAAATATATAATAACTTCAAATTCTTAGCAATGTGGTAAAGTTGCCCATGTAAATAAGTCAACAGCAGATAGAGTATACTTTGGCTTAATCCCTTTGAGTTATTTTAGACTTTCCCATCTGTCTTTTTTTAAAAAAAACTGGTAACATTTGTATTTCATATAGTACTTAGGTAGTACTGAAAAACCATATTTACAAAAGCAGAAAGGAAGTATAATCTATCCAAAAACTGAACAAAATCTAAATGGACCCTTAAAAAATCTATGATTGACTTAGTTTCATTGGAGTAGACATTTGTACGCCAAAAGCAAAACAACTAAATACACTTAAACTTTACTTCCTACAGGTTGTTGTTCCTATTCTCAAAACATCTATCGTTTCTCTCCCATCCATATAGTCCACCAAATACAAGCAGGGATCATCCTCCATCTTTCTTTGTTTGTAGCCCCAACTCCAGCCATCTCCCAACTAAATAGAGTCTCATTAATCTTGCTAGGCATACTCCAAGATATGCCTCTGAGATTAAGGAAAATCTGCCACAACTGGTCAGTAAAGTTGCAATGTAAGAAGACATGTCTCACTGTCTCATTAGCCTTACCACACAAGGAACATCTGTTGCAAAGAGAGATTCCTCTCTTGGCCACATTATCCTGTGTCAAAATTGCTTCATTGACTAGTAGCCATGTAAAGCATGCCACTTTGTGTGGCACTTTGATCCTCCAAATTTGCTTCCAAGGCCATTTTAAGTCTTGAATGCCACCAAGACTTATCTGTTTGTATCCTTCTTTCACCTTGTAACTACCTTTATTGTGCCCCTGCCACCATAAATAATCCTCACCTGTTTGTATACCTTGAAAATTTTCTAAAACCTTAAACAGATCAAGTAGTATTCTAGGAATTTCCCAGTCATTCAGATTTCTTGTAAGGATCAGATCCTAGCCTTGTTGTGTCCACATTTCAGAGACAGACTTCTGTTGGTGTTGATCTAATGTAAAGATGTCAGGAAAACGATCTTTGAGGATCATACCACCCATCCATTTATCAAACCAAAAACTGGTTTTTCTGCCATTTTGTACCTCAGTTGACTGATTACTGAGGAAAGGCCAAAATATTCTGATGAATTTCCAAAGGATAATCCCATAGGGGATATTTACCTCTTTGGTTACCCATTTATTCAGCTCCTCATACTTGTTGATCACCCTATACCATAGTGCTTGGCCCTCCTGATGGTTCCTCCATAACCATTTCACCTTAAGAGCTTTGCTATGGTTTTTGAGATTCTTGATGCCTAATCCACCTTGCACCTTACTTCTGATGATGTTCTTCCACTTGACTAAGTGAAAGGCTTTTCTTTCCTTATTTCCTTGCCACAAGAAGTTTCTTCTAGTTTTGTCCAACATCTGAACTATTGATTGGGGAATATGGAAGATAGATAACATATATGTAGGCAGAGCATCTAGAACAAAGTTTATCAGAGTTAATCTACCTCCCAAAGAGAGGTATTGTGATCTCCATTTGGCTAGTTTCTTTTCACATTTCTCCAATATTGGGTTCCAAATGTCTATGGATCCAGACTTTGCCCATGAAGGCATGCCCAAGTATACTAATGGCAGAGTACCTATCACTCCTCCCAAGGTCTGTGAGAGGTGTTCCATAACCGTTACCACATTAATTGGATACAAATGGCTTTTGTTCCAGTTTATATGTAGTCCAGATATGGCTTCAAAGTAGACTAGTATAAGTCTCAAAATCAGCAATTACTTCCCATGCAATAGTAAATAGTAGAGAAAGGAGAAACAATATACTTTTTAAAGAGAGAGAAGGAGCTTTGAATTGTGAGAAAGCAAAGGAGATGTCTATGTAATTGGCCCTAATACTATTACTAGAAAAGGGTCAAAAAAGCCCATAACGTATTTGAAGTAGTTTACATTCGTCCCCCTTCTACCTATTGGATCCCAATTGTCCTCAACGTTATTTTTTCTTTGAAACATGTAACTTTGTATATTACTACAACAGTACATAGACAAATTTCTAAAGCCAAACCAAACCAAACGAAAAAAATAACCGTCGGTTTGGTTATTGTCAGTTTGGTTCAGTATTTTTGGTTTTTCTGGTTTGAAAGTAATAAATATTTTGAGGACATATATATCTCGATGAACACCAACACTTAGTACATGAACAATCCACAAGAAAGTTACTGTGGATCTAATTAAGCAGTACTAGAGTTATTATTACACGAACAAAGTGTTGGGCTTGAGAAAATGGCAAAGTTATTGACTTAAGTTAATTAAATATTAACAAAATATTTATAATTTATTTATGAATAATATATAAATAATTATATAATTTATATATATAATTTCTCGGGTTGGTTTGGTTATTTTTGCGATTTTTTTAGTAAAACCAACACCAAAACCAAACCAAATAGTATCAGTTTTCAAAATTTAAAACCAAACCTATCCTAACCAAACCAAACCAAACCAAATATCCGTTTTTTAATCGGTTTGGTTCGAATTGCGGTTCAGTTTGGTTTTTTAACCATAATCATGAACAACCCTAGCTGGATTTGATGAACTTATCGTAAATATGGCTCAGTACTACTAACTAAATTGGTTTGGTTTTGGTTTTAACCAACAATCGATCCAAACCAAACCATGAACACCCCTAAATCCAACTTTCTGATCCTAAATTGAGTCTAGTACATCAATTAGGGAGATAGTGTCATTGGAGTATAATTGATTACACCAAAAACACAGTAGCAACAAACAATTAAGCTTGGCTTTTTGCATACTATTTTCTATACTATTAAAACATCTGGAATTCCCCTCCTTCCATATTGCCCACCAAATGCTAGCAAGGACAATTCTCCATATCTCTCTGCTCTCCATCTCTCTCTACTCTTAGACTACACTCCAACTTCTTTCCAACTCCGAATGGCTTCAACGATCTTGCCGTCCATGACCCATGACATACCCTTGAGATTTAGGAATAGTCTTCAGAGCTAGTTAGTTACTCTGCAGTGTAGATAAGATGGTTAACTGTCTTAGCAGTTTCCCCACACAATAGGCACCTTGAGCACGGGGCACCAAAACTACTTCTTTAGCCACTAACCACACAAAACGTGATGCTTTGAGGGGTATTTTGGATTTCCAGATTCCTTTTCAACGCCAGTTACCAGTCAACCAGTAGTTGTTCAACCAGTTATAAGCACAATTCACCTTGTAAATACCCTTTTTGTTTCCCTTTCACCATAAAGTATCCTAACGCCCCTCCAACCATTGAATGGAACTATGGTGTTGTGAATCTCCCAATCATTTAACTATCTTATAAAAATGAAGTTCCACCCTTGAGGAGACTAGTGATCAGCTATGGTCTTATGCTGGTGTCACACTAAGGTACTAATAACTGGAAACAATTTTTCTAGCCTGCTAGCCTCATGCTAGTGCATCTTTCTAGATTTCAGTTCTTTCCCCATTTGCCACTTTGATCCTTGTACTGTTTTTGGAAGCATCCCACAAGGATCTAATGGACCTCCATACACTTGCTCCATAAGGTGTAGTTACAGTTTTGGTCATCCATTAATCTTCCCCTTCATACTTTGCACTACTAACTTCCTTCCAGTAGGATTGATTTTCATTGCAAAACTTCCAGAACCATTTCATTCTGAGAGCCTTGCTTTGATTTTTCAAGTTCTTAATACCTAATCCCCCTTGTCTCTTACCCAGTGTTACATCATCCCATTTGACCAGGTTATAACTTTTTTTCTCATTGTTTCCCTGCCAGAAAAACTTTCTTCTGATTTTGTCCAATTTGTTGATAAACCCTTTGAGGAATTGGAAACACTGACATCATCATATAAGTTGGGAGGACATCAAGGACATAATTTATCAAAGTCAGTCTTCCACCTGTGAAGTCTGGACAGATATTGTGATTTCCACCTTGCTAGCTTCATCTCACACTTTTCTACAAACCTTGTTCCAAATCTCATAAGACTGAGATTTAACCCCCAGAGACATCACTAAATATGTTGTTGGCAAAACAACTATTTCCCCACCCAGTATTGCATTAAGATATTCCATGTTTTGCACTTTATTGATAAGGTACAAATAAATTTTCCTCCAATTATTGTGCAGACCAGATACCCCTAAAAAAAACACTAAAATCACCCTTAAAATTCTGGGTTGGCCATCCTCAGCATCACATAAAATAAGATTATCGTCTGCACATCTTTATCTCCATTTCTGCCAACCATCCCCTCACCTTTGCAATTTTAATCATTCTATTCAGACCCTCCATAACAAGTAAAAACAAAAATGGAGATAAAGGGTCCCCCTATCTGAGTCCCCTTTGTGCACTGAAGAATCCAATAGGGAATCCATTTATGAGGATCGAAAACCTCACTGTGGAGATAAACTTTCTCATCCACTGGATCCACTTCATTCCAAACCCATCCTCTCCGAAGTATTCATCGAGTATTCCTAATTCACATGATCATATTCCTTCTC